CCTTGTGGCGGGCGGGCGGGGGGGGTAAAATTGTCCTTTCCAGTCTGATTTTCTTTTCTTTTTGAAATGTCATTGTCGTAGTATTAATTGGTTTAAGTACACACATTTCCCCAGTGCTGCATTGTTTCAATCAATGGTGGAAGGTGTTTTATGACTGGCTATGTCACTGGTACATGTGAGTGATATGCTCAAACTCATTGAGGGGGAAATTTTCCCCATCTAAGTCATTATGCATCTTATTAAAAACACAAAACAGGCATGTGAATAGAGAATTTTCATCCATCATGTCATGAAACAGAAGCTGTCTGGCTTCCTGCAGACTGTGAAAGCCTCCCTGTAAGGCAGGAAAAATAAATAAGAGCATCAACCATCTTGCTTCTTGTTCTGGTGCTAGAGGTCATTTCAGTAGTTGCAGCGGTATGGGGGAATGACCTTGGGAGATGGGGAAGAGCCGCAGCCAGGGGAATGGTCCAATAGCTTAGCCCGCAGAAGGACTGTGGGCATGGCAAATGTCTCAGAAGGGACTCTCCCTAATTTCTTGAGCTGTTCAGGCGACAGGGGATGCTTGCAAGATTGATGTCAGCCTTGTGAGGTAGTCCAGACAGGAAGCATGCCCAGATTAACTCATTCTACTTTATTGTAAGAATCTTGCAAGTCTGAAAGTACATTTCTCCCTCATTGCCCACATTCATTCTGCCTCTTATCCGACTCTTCCTCTGGCTGTGGCTCTTCCACCTGTCTCCCAAGGTCACTCCCACATACCATTACGGTAGCTGAAGTCTTTCTTATGACAGGAGTCTCTTAATCCCTTGTGAGGTTAAATATTATGGTCAATACTAAGGCGGCCAGTAGGCCAAATGATGACAGTGAGAACACTGTGAGCTTGGTCAGTGTAATTTGTGAAAAGGTGAGATCTTTCTTAGCAGCAACCCCAGGCAACAATAAAAAAGAAATGGCTGGTAGAAGGGAAGAGAAGAGCTTGTGACATTATTCTGCATTAGGACTCTTTCACTTGTTTTGTCAAGACACAGAGAAATGGTATGATTTAAGGAGATTTTGAATAGAAATATGGTCTTAGATAATATATGTTCAAAAGCCAGTTTGGTGTATTCTCCAAATTTTTCTCTTCAAGAATATATTAATTTCTAGGCATCATACTGTGACATCAGTGGAATTTTTATCAACAACCATGCCTAGGCCTAATGCTTTTTAATATCCTAAGAAACATATTAAAAATCTTTTTAAAAACACCTTTTGTTGTTGTTTTTTTTAACATAGGAATAGTTAGCCATCTATAACAAGATTATTTACAAACTCATTTAAAATTTCCATTATGGTATAAGTAGGTCCTTAATTTACATAAGGTAAAACAACGAGTGAGATGTTACATTTTAAAGAATTTTAGTGATAAATGTTTGAGACCCTGTGAGAGCCAATCTTTCCATTTTTCACCCTGTAATACTTTTTTTTTTAACTAAACGGAAGAAAATATAAATGAAAGCTGTTCGTTTTGCTCTAGTTTCCCCAAAGTAATAGAATCCAAGCTACAAAATAAAACTTCCTAAACTTAGTCAGGCTGGTACTTGGAACACAAGATTATGGCCTAAACAAACTTCATTTGATTCCCTTTTGGTGGGTAAAACAAGACAGCTTCAGTTTCTTTGGCACAAGACTTTCTTTCTGCCTCCTGCCTGCTGTGAGGAACAAATTCTAAGTACATCACACAGCAAGAAGAAGAGGAGCAAGCAGGAGAATTTGTAACTGCATTGTTAGCTGCTGGCACATGCACGCTCCTCAAGTTGCAGTTCTGCTTTTTAATTTTATTTCTATGTTTGTTTTATTTTATTTTGTTGGCTGTCTGTGTAATATAGCTATTATTACTGTTTTGCACTGTATTTATTATTTGTGGTTATTTAAATCATATTTAAATGTATAGAACTAGTATGATCTTTGACCTTCAGTAGATTGTGAGGTAAATAATACTAAGGCTACGATATCCCCATTTACTATTAAACTACATGCTTCCTTTGATAAAAGTTGAGAGACTGAACTTTATGGCCATTACCAGAAAAAGGATTGCTCACGTTGCTTTAGTATTTAGTTTGTTGGAAATCTGGGCATCACCTTTTCTGGCTACTGCTATCCATTGAAATTGACATAGATTTGGTAAAATGAAGATTTACAATATATCTCAAGTGCAAATGGTCAGATAACAGGCTTGCTCTAAAATGACTTGATGCCATCAAAGCCAATCTAACACATAAGGAAGCAAACCTCAGTGAACAGCAAAGTCAATATCTTGCCAATGAGAATTTAATTTGGCTAATAAGATCTATTAGGGTTAATTGAAAACTCATTGACTACTGAGCAAATCTTTTCCTCCTCCAAATTAGGAGAATCTGTTGCTTTGTTTTTGCATTTTGGGAGGAGTATTGCAAAATTATCAGTACCATACCAGATTATTTTTCCCCCCAACCTTTTCCTGCAAAATGTCTTCTATGTTTTAAATGATAAGCTTGTTTCTGCAAACCTTCCTAATTATATGTGATCTTTTTCAAGTAAATTAAATTATTACTAGTTTTGTTGAAGCCTGATCTGGAAACTCTTTAATTATCAGAATGCACAATAGCATCTAGGCCTATACTTTAGATCTAAATTAAATATTACTAAGCCTGTTTGAAAATGGTAATTCACATTGCATCTATAGATGAACTCTCTCTAGATTCTTCATTTACTATGATAATGGGTTTTTGTGTGTTTGTGCATGTGTGCACTGTTTGTTCTCTGGGGATAGTAGACATGTTATCCCATCTAGCAATCATGTGTA